GCTTGGAATATGAGCGTAATGAGCTACATGCAAAGGAGCACCTTTTGGCAGGCCCTTCATGGCTTTAGTGCATCTGGAAACCAGGAAGTGTGAGGCTGCTGGCAAGAGTAGCATTTCACATGTAAATTTGATTTAGCCAAATCATGGAAGAGGCATAGCTGAAAAGTATGGATACCATGATCTCAACGAGTATATTAAGAAGCTCTCCTCCTTCACTCAGATTACTGAACCATTTCTTTGGCCTTAAGATCCCCTCTTCTTTTAAGCCAGACTGTTAACACTTTCTTTCTTTCTTGTCAGCAAGCATCAAGTCAAAAATAGTCCTCTCTTGTGTTGCCTTGGAAATTATCACCCACTAAAGAGCTAAAAATGTCTTCTAAGCACTTAATCAAAAAAAAAAAAAACCTATGGAACTGTCTTCTAATAATTCTGTGAATTCTCTAGACTAGTAATAGAAGTTTATATCCTATTTGCCTTGAACAATTTGGACTTTTTGTTGCCTTCCATGTTGTAGAAATCATATCCAAAGAAAAAGAAATCAAATGGGTTCTACCTTAAAAATTGAACCATGAAGATGATGTTTAGCATTTAGCATTGCACAAGATAGATAGGTGGCTATAGTTATATTCTTATTTTCTGTGGGCATACCAGTCCAACATAAAACAATAGATCAGGGGTCCTCAACCTCCAGGCCAGGGCCCATTACCAGACCATGGCCTATTTGAAACCAGACTGCCGGAGAGATAGGCAAATGTGCACACGTGAAGCTCCCCACTCACAAGTGGCGGGCCAGCGTGCAGCACGAAACTAAGCTTGTGCGATGAGAGCTTCACACACAAATGCAAGCACCCTCCACTCAAGCACCCTCCACTTGCATGAGTGGAACTTCATGTGCAAGTGCCTGCCACTTGCATGAATGGAGCTTTGTGGGTGAGTGATTTTTTTTTCACGATCTTGAAGGCGGCTCTTGATCAATTTTGGGGATGCTTGTGCCAGCCCCAGACTAATCTGCCTTGACCAAGAGAAAAGGAGGAACAAATACAGGTGTAAGTAACCTAGCCTTAATCCTTAAGAGTAAATAAATAAATCTGCATATGAAGTTTGGCACAAAGACTAACAAAAAATCCCACACTCCAAACTATGAATAAGCAGGATGTTTATACATGAATACATGGATATGCAAAACTAGGTATTACAAGACTACGGATAACAAGGGCTACCTTTATTACAGTTAGACTCTAGTCTTCAAAAGTAAAGGTGCCCTCAGATCAAATTTGATTCCTGGTGACTTCGTAGACATGTCCACATCATTTTTCTTCATGCCCATATGTAAGAGGTGACGAGGCTGAATTCGAGGGCGGGATCAAGTGCATCATCAGTTTGGAGTCTCTACACCCCCATAAGAAACATAAGTCCAGCCCTCTTGAAATCCTTTGACTCTTATCCGGCACCAATTTGCCTTGACGGTTAGTAATTCAGATTCTTCTGAATAAGTAGCATGAAATAAACTTGTAGTACTGTATTTTTTAATATCCTGGTCCCTGACTTCTTGCACCTGATACATATGGATGTAGTTTGGTTTTTACCCTTTTCCAGGATATTGTGATAGTGTGCATTTTTTCTCACTTTCATCGTACTGTTCCTGTATTCTCTTTTGGCCTCTCAAACAGGTACTAACTAGTCTGAACAAATCCAAGATTTGCCAGCTGTAGCCACTTGTCTTATGAATTTAAATTGCATCAATTTCATGGTTGCCAGAGATGGATGTTAGTTATCAATATTATACATTCCTCTGTGCCTGCAGTGGTAATATTCTGATTAAATTCCGTGTGAATATTTGTAATATCAGATGGGCCACAAGCACTGTAGGTTTGGGAAATGACATCAATGTACCTAAGGAAACAAATGGACCAATCTACTAAAAATTACTAGCAAAATTTACATTTGAGGCAGGAATTGTGTTTTTGCTTTGAAAATATTAATATCCTTAATTTATGCTTGTGCTGTATAGCTCCTTTAATACTCATGGGCTCGAAGCTTATGCATACTTCCCACATATTTTGTGCATGTAGCCTTCCATCGGATATTCAAGGAATGTCCCTGCAAGCAACAATTCTGAGTTATTCTCAGTTATACCGCTTATATAGTATGTAGAGGTGGGGTTTTTTTTCCTCTCTCTGCTCTATTATCAAAAATAAAAATTTAAGATTTGCATATATTTCCATACCTGGAAATAACATGATTTTAAGTAAATAAACTTGGGGCAGCTCACAGTTGTGCCTAATCATATTTCATTGATAAAATGTGTAAGTTACTAAACACGCCAAAGTTTAAAACCAAACAAGACTTTGCCTGTGTACTGATTCCTATTTGAAAGAATAAAGGAATAGATGGGAATGCAGGAATTTTGTGTGTGCGTGCGTGTGTGTGTGTGTCCTAATGAAATGCAAAAACAGAGGGGATTTTGAGTGAAAGATTCAAAGATGAGAGAGAATAGGAAAAACAGATATTGAGAGAGATTTCTGAGTAAGAAACCCAGATCAAAGAACTGAACGCTGGATAAGTGTAAAGGAACTAGGAGTCCTAACTAGAATATCAGTTTAAGCAAATTTTAAAGGAGGAATGGGGTTGTTATCGATGGCATCTTTTCAAAGATTTCAGTCCCTTTGGAATAATGCTTTAAGGAACTTCCTACTGACAGTGGGAGTACAGCTAAAACTGGGAAGGGTCAGGTCTTCCAGAAAGCTTTTGAAAGTAGAGCAAGGGCTGCCTCCCAGGTGTAAAGATTGAGAAGGCATTTAGGGAGAAATGAAGTAGCAGAGGCAGAGAGAGAGAAAAGAGAATAAAAAATCATGTAGACAAAGGTGGGGAAATGTACAGAGGAAATGTTTACACACACACACCCCAAAAAAAAGAAAAAGAAAAAAAAAGCAGAAGGGGGAAAGACTGGCAGTAAAACTGAAGACTGAAGGGAAAAGGATGAAAATGGTACTGGTAAACCAGTACAATTAGTAGCATAAGGGAATCGACGAGTATATTGAAAATGGAAAGCAATGCATTGGAAAAAATGGTGTGGGGTTTTTATTTTTATCTATCCCTCTAGGCCAGTGGTCGCCAACCACTGGTGGTCCATGAGAAAAATTTTGATGGTCCACAGAGAAATGTCACTCCAAAAGCACCCCCAAAGCAATTAATCCAGGCTACGCGGGAACACAAGGCTGCGCCACCCACATGGCCCGTGGGAACACAAGGCTTGGGTCTATTGCATTGCGAACAACATGAGGTAGTGAGGGGAGGGAGAAAGGGCAGAGAGGGGGAACTTGCCCCACTCACCCCATGCGCCTGGCCTGGCCACTAGGCTGCTGCTTTCCGCTTCTTTCTTCTTCCGCTTTTGGCTGCACGCAAGGAAAGCAGCAAAAGTCTTTCTTTCTCTCCCCCAAACTTTGCCAAAAATGAGTCTTTGGGACCCTGCAAGGCATCCTCCTCCAAGTGGCTGCGCTGGCAAAGACTCATTTCTGGTGGAGTTTGGGGAAGAGAAAGAAAGACTTCTGCTGTTTCTGCTGCTTTCCTTGCATGAAGCCAAAAGTTTCTCTCTCCACCTGAGAATGGAGCTGGAGACAGTATCCTGTGATCCCAAATAAAGACTGATCGATTGGTAGGAAAACGAGGTGGGGAATTTTCCTGCAGACTTTTTTGGGGATTTTCCCAGGGTCTCTGCAGACAGAGACGATCAATCGTTCTTTATTTGGGATCGTAGGATACCCTCTCCCTTCCTCCTCCCTCTCTCTCTCTTCCCCTCCCCCCCCCCAAGAACAGAACTGAAAAGCAGGTAAGTGAAGGAATATGGATGCCTTGGAGGTTCTTGAGGGTGAGGGACCTCTGTCTCTGTGTGTGTGTGTGTGTGAGAGAGAGAGAGAGAGAACATCACCGCCAACCCTCCGAGGTTAAATCGGATCTCTCTCTCTCCCTCCCACCAACGCCAGCAAGCCACCTTCAGTCACAATTCATATTAGTGGTCCGCGGGATTTAAAATTATGAGTTTGGTGGTCCCTGAGGTCCAAAAGGTTGGCCACCCCTGCTCTAGGCGGCATTTTTGGAGGCGGGTTGCTAACCCCTTTTTCCCAGGACTGAAAGAAAATAAGTGGCCACAAAAGCCACCCGGTTGCTTTCTGTTGCTTAAGACAGGATCAGAATCCAGGTTCCCCTCTCAGATTCCACTACCTTAACTACTAGATCAAAGTGGTAATTAGGAAAAGTCCAGTACTTCATGGTATAAATTTGGAAAGCTCTTTGCTGGAAGCAATTTGTATTGGAGATCAACCGATTGAAGTTTTTTTGTAAAACAGTTATCAAGTTTCTTTTCTTTTTTTTCATCCTTGCAATCTTTATTGAAACCTTGTAAAGCCCTGGGACGGACGCCCCCTTGGCTGCTTGAATTCCTGCCTGCTGCTGTAGCTGTTGGAGTTAGGATGCCTGCCATCCTCTGCCTTTGGCCATGCGACCTGCAGCTGGGTAGCAATTGCTGCAGATGTTTGGTGGGCACCAAATTGACCCGGGCTGGGTTTAAAATGGGTTCCATTTCTCCTGATTTTATGAGTTCTTCCCAGTATTTCTTTTCGTGGCTTTCTTCCCAGCCTTTCCAAAATGTGGGTGGTATCTAGGAAGGAACGGGGCCATCGCAACTGGCTGCAAAAGCAGAAAGTTGGCAAGAGATCTGCTTTTCAAAACCTAGCGCCTCATGAGGACTAGGAGCAAGCAGGACACACCACTTCTTTCTGTGATCAAGCCTGTGTTGTTGTTTTTTTAAACTGGGTAATTCAAGTGCAAAAAAAAGGAAGAATGGGTATTTATATTTATATATAAGAACAGTTATAAGAACAGTTATCAAGTTTGAAATGCTTCGTTCAAGGGATTGCAAAGACTTTTAGTTCTATCGTAAGATACAGGCTTGCTAAAAAAACTGTGACGTTTTGTGAAAAATTTGTTTTCTTTTTTTGCAGATCAAGTCACGGCAGTCTCTTCTTTGTTTCGCTACTGGATTACAGATATCCTTCCTGGAAAGGAGGACAGGAAATGAGCCGAATGAGAATCTCCATCTGTACGGAATTAAGATCTAAAACTCCGAATTAAATCTGAGGATATTTGGGCAGAAAAATGTCCTTGAACCAGAATACAGGTTCACAGTGACACTATTTAGGTGGGTTTTTGGTTTGGGGGGGGGGAGGGGGGCTTGGGTTTTGTTTGTTTTGGGGTTTTTTTGTGACTGGCCGAATCTGCAAAGGCCTTTCATTTTTATTTATTTTTTAAACAAGTTTTATTAATTTCAAAAACAAACAAATCATCACCAACCATTACATATTTGAACCTTTTTCCATTGTAAATTTTACAAGTCAGATAAACCCTTATCTTATACAATACAATTCTATTTTAAACCATTTCTAAATGAGCATAAAAACATCTCTTGTCCTCTATTTCTTTCTGACTTGATTATCGTCATTCTCTTTCTGTGTTTCTAAAAGGTTTCACCAATACTTCTCAAAAACATAAACAGACACAAACAAACATATAAAAATCTTTTAGTAAAGTAACTTGGCCCCCAGTACCTCTCTTTATAGGGGCTTTAATTATATTCATGCTCATCTTAGAGATCATTACCTATTTTGTTTACCATTCTGTATCTTCTATATATACTTCTCCACACATTTCACTCTTCATAATTCTATCTTATTCAATCCATCTTAATTTAAATCATTATATTTGTATCTTTTGCCCATCCTTTATTATCCCTCTATCTCATTCCTTATAATGAAAAAAAAAAAGAATTTCTCCTGAAATCTCTAATCAGAGTATGATGCCTTTCTATCCTCTCCCTAAATATTAGATTAACATTTAAAATGACACCTAATATCCAATCTGATTCTGCTTGGTACATTCTATCAATTAATTTTTACTTTTAATAACAATAAAAACAGAGTAATAAATCGGAAATGTTTAAATACATAGTATCCTCCTAAGTACGTAGTTAAATAATAAATCTAAATAATAAATCTTATAGCATTCTCATTGCCTTTCCCTTCAATATTTTATTACATTTTAAAAATCAATCATTATTAAACATTTCAACATTTTAATTTCTTATTAACTCTTAAGCCATTCTAATTTTCTATTTCTAATACAAATATTACAATACCGTCTTATGTACCTTGCAAAATCTTTTTTAAGAAAATTTATGTTTTACCCTTTATCCCTGAAAAAGATTCCTCTTTTCCCATCCAATTTTAAAACTTTGTGGCTTTTCTCCGCCTTTCCCCTTTCTTTCTTCCCCCACCAGATCTTCCTACCCCCCCTTCTTCTAACCTCTGTCTTGCTGGCATCTCTTCTCTGTTGTATTCCCTTTTTCTCTTGTTTGCTATCATTGTATTTATTTTGCATCATATTTTTCTCTTTCTTAAATATTTTTTTAAATCTTAAGTCCTTCATTTTCCTCGCTTTCTTCCTTCCTTCTTCCTTAGATAAATTTTGGGATTCATTAAAGATGGTGTCTTCGTCTTCTTCTTGCTGTTGTTCCATCTGCCGCATTGTCTGTTCATAGTTAACCAGCTACTTTTGTTTGCTCATATTCATCCCTCAGTTCCTCAAGGGAAAAAGCCATTATAAATCTTTTCTTGTCTTTTTTCCCTCTTTCTTCTTACTCCAACCAAAATATTCCAAAAGAAAAGTAAAACAATCCCAAAGTCCACAATCCTCAATCAATCCAAGCCAAGCCAAAATTTCCACTTTCTCTTCCAGGGGTAGTATCAGACAAAGGAAAAAAAAAATCCAAATCTGTGTTTTGAAGCCTTATTAAAATTTTATTTCTGTCTCCAAATCCTTAAGGCATCTCCTCCAACAAAATCCAACCAGATAAATATATTTTTTGTCCTCTCCCTTCCGACTTATCCCATAAAGCTAGTTTTACCTGGAAAAAAAAACAGATTTCTCAATATCCGTTTGTTAATTCCATCGGGAGGGAGAGTAAACTTTCCTTTCAGCACCTCAGAATTGCCGCTTACTTTCTCTTGTGGAAAGAATCATCCAAAAAGCCATCACTTCCAGGAATTAAATTAAATATATCTCAGAGTCCTGGAACGACCAAGAAGACTTTCACTTTTAAAAACTTTCTCCTCTTCCTCCTGCGCATACTTGCCCAGCTGCCGGCTTCTTTGTGGCGGCCATTACGGACCGCCGCTACACCGTCTTGGTAAAAGGAGGTTCTGCCGGCCAGGGAGGGGGTCTGCAATACCCCCAAACCCTTTTCCGGATCCCCCCTACCTTCAGCTGCCCCTGCAGGGCAGCCTTGCTCCGCACCCTTTCGGATCGGAGCCCCAAAAGCGGCTAGCGCGGCAGGGATCGCGCAGCTTCGCGAATCCCTACCGCTCGCAAAGCCGACAAACCGGAAATCCCAAAGGCCTTTCATTTTTAGTGCACCCAGAGATCTCAGACAATGGCTTCAGTGAAGTCCATCTTACTTCGTTTTTCTTCCAAGAAATTCGGAGTGGCCACATTAAAAACCAGCAAGTTCCAGCATTGATTTAAGATGTTGGTTTACAACATGGACCGCAAGAGCTGTGACTTGAACTAAAGAAGTCTGATGTTCTTTTTCTCAGCTTAATTCACTTTGAACAAAGCTCAGAGTCTCTCTTGATTGATCGGTCCGTGGGCAAGCTGAGAAACTTTGGAGACCAATTTACAGGCAGCAGAGAGGAATACACTGCCTGATGTGCAAAGATAGGAAAACTGGAGAAGATTGGCTTTCCCCATCATATCTCTGTGTTTTTTTAAACTGTAGAAGAAGCAGAATAAAAGATGAATCTTTTTTCCTGCATTCTTTATTTGAGTTGATCTGACATGGGATGATAAAATGTATAGGCTTCATTTTAAGTTAAGAGCATAGTCAGTTTTGGCCAGACTTTTTTTAATGTCATGTAAATATTTGAGGTATTCTGGATGAGTATCTCCATTAGTTCCTTCGCCGAACAGCTCAAATTATTGGCAGAAATGCTTATAAAGGTTTTCAAGAGAGAACTCTAGCCAGGAACAGCTTTTCTACTACCTGCACAAGAGCAGCTTCTCCTGCCAAAATGTGCTTTTTATATAAATTTTAAAGATACCAGGGAGAACGGTATCCCTAAGGGACATCAAAATAAATTATGCAGAGAAACTACGCAAAATAAATATTATTTCTTAAACTCGGTTTGTGAGCATAGACTCCAAAGCCAGCTTCCTTGTGTTTCTGCCTCTACAGTCTGTACAGAAGAAAATCTGCTCCTGAGTACCGTGTGAGTTCATGAATTTTTGACCAAACTGCGTATTTTAAACATTTAATAAACCCCATACTAGCATGCCTGTCTTCTATTTGGCTTGCCTCCACAGGAAAAAAACGGAGAATGCTGCCATTCTCCCAAAGTGTCTGAATTTCAGCCCCTTAAGAATCATAGATAATGCTTATTTCAATAGTTTCTGAAGGACTGCAGAAGAACTCGATCTTTGACACTGCACATCTGACTGTATACTATTTAATTCTACTATCCTCAGAAATACCTACCTCTCTCCTTAATACTCTAAATACAGTGGCTTCTGTAAGTTGTATGTTTTTATTATGCATTCACGTTAAGCCTGCAAGAGGTATGCTGTTTGTCCTTTCTCTTCTGCATCTTCAGTATAACCTGGCTTGCTATGATCAGCTCCTCTTTTTTT